TAAAATAAATAGAGTACAATTCTTTGGGGGTTGCTTGGTGATTCAGTTGACTTTCAGTTTGAACATGTAGGTAAAGCAATAAACTCAGGATGGAGGCTATCAATTTTAAAAATTAAACTATTTGACAATAAGTTGATCAACAAATGAAAGTACATACTTGTGACATCATGTTATGAGATGGATATGTGAAATTTCAACACGATCATGCAAGACATGTCAATAGACATAGGTACACATGCAGAATGGTAAATCTTCAAGCCTCGGTTTGGGGATTCTGTCCAAGTCGGTGTTTTAGGTCATAAGTGAATATTTATTTCTCAAAATATGTTTGAAAATTCCAAAATGGTATAACCATTATATCTTGGCAAATGTCAATGGGAAAATACTCTCACAATTTCGTTGAAAACTTTGCTGGGGGTAAATGAATTCATACAACATATGTTATACTGATGAAATACATATGGGAATATAAATTGAATAAATGCTGAATATGTATTAGTATCTTTAGTAGTACATGTTTATAATAATACAATTTTATAATAATATTAATTTCATGGTCTTTTTTAGAATATGACATTAATCACACACAAAATATAGTATATTTAGGTAAAATTTTATCAGGAAAAATATAATTGTCTAGCTTTGACATCAAAAATGATTTTTTTTCTTTATTTTAGCCCAATTTTCACACATATCTTGAAAATTATACAGAATAGTTGCACTAAAATTGTGTTATTGCAACCATAAGAATCAAAGTTTTAAACAACAGCACCAACATAGTGGAGGGCAGACATTTTTTTCATGATACAGGCAAGGTAATAATAAAAGTGTTTATTAATCACATTACCAGAACGCAATTGCATCCAATTTACACTTGTCTTAGTTTCATGTTTCCACTCAGAAACATACATTCAATTACAATCTCCTTCCAGTTTGGCTAATGAGGCACATTTTCAACATCTCTAACAACACCAGCCATACCAAACTTTAACAGCACAGAGATTGTACATTATTTGATAAAAGATTGAACAAAAATTACTTGAACGATAATAATGCCAATGATGGCAATGACAGATATTGTAATCACTATCTTGCTGCTTCATTATCATTTTTGGCAAGATAAACATGCACAGAATTGGTTTCTGCATTTAAAAAAAAGAGAATACCCAGAATGCACTGTGGAGAAAATAATTACAATTGAATATGATAAAATATTACATTAGAAAGGGTGAAACCATTATATCTGGGGTGGATAAACTCCACCATGAATAATGTTCCATTCCAACAAATAATTGAATTCACATTTATAAAATATCAATTATTGCACACTATAGAAAGTCCACACAGTTTGCATACTAGTGTGTATTCTTGTTCAGCAGTCCAGTCATAAATATAATATTTACAAAAACTCATTCACATTTTCCGAAATAAAAATTCATATATAAGAGAAATTGATTGCAAAAACAACTTTTCAAAAACATGTCAAGAGATGGTAATATGTGTAAATCCTACAGCTATTGAAGACAGCCCCTCAAGTGGCATTACTTTTGTTTTTATCTGGTAATCTCATTTAGATAGGAACGCTCAAATACTGTCATGAAAATCTAAATCTTAAGGCACTTACACACAAATACTAAAGCAATAGTAATCTTTAAAAAAAGTAAAACTATACCAGTTTTGACTGAAAATTATGTAAAACTATGCACCATAAAATATAAATTGAACTTATCATCTCAAAATGAATAAATAAAATCAAGTCATCCCATATGTTAGCAAAACCAATATGAAATAACTTAATTAACAAAGGAGTCAACTAGACATGTTTACTGATGTCTACACTTAAATTTTTGCTCCTTATCTGACATT